TGGACATTTTATGACGAAATATCCCAAAACATTAACCCCTAAAGATTACTGACCAAGAGGCACAGGCTCAACAAACATGGGAAAATATGGTTACCTAATATTACTCATGAAACCAGATTTATACACAATGTCACGGATGTTACCTAATGGTGTAACGTTACGTACTGGCAGAGAGGCCACTGCGGCATGGTATCTCAGTGGGCTAGCACTATAAAACCAGCTTCAGTCTGGGCTAGTACAAGCAGCCGCACATACACATACACACGCATGCACGTCGTCATATGAGCGAAATATTCTCAAGCACGACGTTAAACCCAATTTCACCTCACCTCACCTCACTGGCAGAGAGGCGTCAAAACAGTTGAAGCAGTTGTTGGGTTAGTCAAGATTAGACCACGACAAACTAGCGTGGTAACAGAGAGTCAGACCCGGACCACTGATCAGGGTATTATATTGCAGGTATTGTCGGTAGATCGGATCCCAGTCAACCGATAATTTTCGATTATATAAGTATCGGAATAAAACATTGTCCAGATCTGACCTATAGAGCTACTATTGTTCCGTGTGTTTTGTATAGAGAGTGCCTTATTACGTGTTAAGCACGGGTACTTGAGTCTTCTCACGATCTACTGTTTTGACATGATGCCAGAGGGACCTGTTTTCGTGTAGTCTACCTGATAACGGACATCTATAGTAAGGACGTACGACAGGTGTACTGTAGTGTGAATAGTTTGTCTCATACTCCCTGAACTGCATAATTTTCCCTTCCCCAGCCCTTTCTGCAGTGCTAAAGCCCTACATGAAGCAAGGGGCGGTGGGGTAGTCTAGTGGTTAAAGCGTTGGCTCGTCACGCCGAAGACCCGGGTTCGAATCCCCACATGGGTACAATGAGTGAAGCCCATTTCTGGTGTCCCCCGCCGTGATATTGCTGGAATATTGCTAAAAGCGGCGTAAAACAAACTCAGTCAGTCAGTCAGTACATGAAGCAACTCTAGAGGTCTTTCCTCAGGTCTAAATCTCCTATCTCACTGTGTCTCTTCTAAATTTAAAAGGAATTGTTTCTATCAAAATTAGGGGCGTTGGGGTAGCCTAGTGTTTAAAGCGTTCGCTCGTCACGCCGAAGGTCAGGGTTCGATTCCCCACATGGGTACAGTGTGTGAAGCACATTGGTATTGCTGGAATATTGCTAAAAAGCGGCGTAAAACCAAGCTCACTCACTCATTCTATCAAAATTATATACATTCAGAGACTAAGAGTTAGCCTATTGTGTGAACTGCTGGTATCTTTATATGTTTATAGCTTCATAACAACCTAACTTGGCCATCTCGTACTTGTCTGTCTCCTTGACTCTAGATGATAAATTAAGACAGGAATTCTCAACCGTTGAATGATTTGGCAAGCCAAGATTAAGCATTGCTGGGCATTGCTCTGATTTGGCATTTCGTAGGTATATACTTCTTGTGTAACACTTAAATTTCGTTGTTTATGGCACAACTAAATGTTATGTTTCGTACGTTTCTAAATTCCAGTTTTAGTTTCTTTGATTTTTGTTGGTAAAATACTTTATTTTTCTTTATAAGTCTAAATAGAAAGCGAAATTAAAGCAAAATTAGGAAACAGTGACATATGTTTTGTTTAAAAACCGAATTTTGTTTTCGTTTATGAAAGCCCGCGCACAAAGTATGTGAAGTACAGACATGTATATGCCATGTTACAGGTAAGATATGTTGTATTTGGGATTACACTTTCTTAGAAAAGTAAAGATTCTGCTACGTGTTACCTGTCTGATTTTGTGAACTGTTTCAACACTGTCTTGACATGCCCGGTTTGATTCTGGGCAATATGTGTTTGTTCAGTTGTTAAACGCCCACTCAGCAATATTCCAGCTATATCACTGGCGGTCTGTAAATAATCCGACCAAAACCAGACAGAGCAGTTGTCATTATAAACGACGTCACGCGCCGTCGAGGTCAGTGAAACATTATTATCACGTCGCCAAGCGTAATCACCTAATCCACTTAGTTTCTGACCACAAGCACCAATCTACCCGTTTACCTGCAGGATCCTTGCAGGATTGGGATATCCATTATACGTTGTTATGCAATGCTGAAAATGACCCAAACTCGCCTACCCTAGCAACGCTTTGGCTTGTCACATCGACCCTACTGAGTTAGCGTAACACTTGCATGTCTCCCGGCAAAACCAAACACCCAGATCAATAACAATTTCTACCTGCTTTGTTTCGGGTGTTGATTTGAAAGAACTGAGATATATTCTTGAAGTGTTGTATCATTCGTATGGAAATATTTGGTAGAAGCAATACTTGTAATCACATACTTGTAAAACCAGACGTATGTTAAAAAAACAGCGTTGACCGTAGTTTTATTGCCTTGAACACGAGAGGAATGGATACCCGTGAAAGGTAATCAATCGTGTCTCGGTCAATAAATAATCAATGACCGTTTGCATTATGTTTCTATGTCCACAGAGACACATTAATTGTCGGCATCGTCAGATGAGGTGAGGTGAAATTGGGTTTAACGTCGTACTTGAGAATATTTCGCTCATATGACGACGTGCATGCGTGTGTATGTGTATGTGCGGCTGCTTGTACTAGCCCAGACTGAAGCTGGTTTTATAGTGCTAGCCCACTGAGATACCATGCCGCAGTGAAGCATGAATACCCCACTCAGACACAGTATACTGACTCCGAGCCGACCAGTCCTTGTTGTACCCATTAATGTCGAGCGCCAGGCAGGGACCAACAAGTACCATATTTTAACGTCTTTTGGTATGACGCGGTCGGGGATCGAACCCGCGACCTTCCGCTCTCCGGGCGGACGCTCTAACCACTACACCACGGAGGCGGTCCGGCATCGTCAGGCGAACTAGGGTACCATTCGTGTAACTGTTTTATGATAGTTTGGTTTGGTTGTTGTTTAACGCCGCACTCAGAAATATTCCAGCTATATGGCGGCGGTCTGCAATAACCAAGTGTGGACCAGACAATCCAGTGATCAACAGCATGAACATCGATCTACTCAATTGGGATACGATGACGTATGTCAACCAAGTCAGGAGCCCTGACCACCCGATCTCGTTAGTCGCCTTTTAAGACAAGCATCTGTTGCTGAAGACCAATTCTAACCTGGATCTTCATAGTGCCAGATTAGATAAGATTTTCGTGCACCCAAAAGCTGTCCCCAAATATGTCCTTTCCTCAACTGATTATGTATTGAGACAAACAAAATAACAGTCCAAGAATTCTGGCCTCGTTCCACAAAGCGATCGTAGTGCTACGACTGTCGTAAGTCTATGTTAAAGTATGGGAGTTACGATCATCTTAGTGCTACGACTGTCGTAAGTCTATGTTAAAGTATGGGAGTTACGATCATCTTAGTGCTACGACTGTCGTAAGTCTATGTTAAAGTATGGGAGTTACGATCACCTTAGCGCTACGACTGTCGTAAGTCTATGTTAAAGTATGGGAGTTACGATCATCTTAGTGCTACGACTGCCGTAAGTCTATGTTAAAGTATGGGAGTTACGATCATCTTAGGGTTACGATCGCTTTGAGGAACGGGGCCCCGCACGCGTGCATTCGTTACATGTTGGGTAATGAGCGATACGTCACTGCGTGGAGCTTGTGTTATGGCGTACATCCACGCAACTGTGGTGTCAAATTGGTTGTTCGGGTCAATACATATAAACATAGGATTTGTACATACCTTGGTTGAGCATACGACTGATATCATATACTGCATGCCTGTATATACGTATAACAATTACACCCATCCACGAAATGCCAATTAAACATGTTATATTATTAATTATATTAATTATTATTTAACATGTAGATTACTAACCATCTACTAATTAGACCTATAACATGCCCTAGCCTGTCCGGTTTTTAAGTATGTTTGTTAAATTAACACCGAACTTTTTGTAAATAATCGAGTCTGGCCAAGACAAACGAATTCATGCACCGAACAGGTCAACGGAACTGACAACCCGAATCTCTCACTACATGCGGTGTCAATGTGCTTGTAATGTCTGGGCATGTATTCCACTCACGGCATAAGTATCCATTTTATATATAAGGGATACAACCGCAATGAGCAATGTTCATTATCCGTGTTGTCTTGTGTATTGCACCTGAGGACAATGTTAAATTCAATTTTTTCTCCAAAGTTCAAATTTGAAAAGGTGCATACTGGTACGTCGACGATACTGTCAGTTTTTCTTCAACAATGTACTCTGTATCATGGTATTACGTCAACAATACTGTCTATTTTACGTCAACAATACTGTCTGATTTACGTCACAAAGTGTGTATTACGTCAACGATACTGTCTGATGTACCTCATCAAGGTTGAGGGGCGGTGGGGTAGCCTAGTGGTTAAAGCGTTGGCTCGTCACGCCGAAGACCCGGGTTCGAATCCCCACATGGGTACAATGTGTGAAGCCCATTTATGGTGTCCCCCGCCGTGATGTTGCTGGAATATTGCTAAAAGCGGCGTAAAACCAAACTCAGTCAGTCAGTCAGTCATCAAGGTTGTATGGATGACGTCAACTATACTGTTTTATGTTAACAATGTAGTGTGTTAACGTCAACAAGGCATTTGTATTACGTCATCACTGCTGTCAGCATTACACGGAGCACTATTCACTCGCTTTTACTATTTGAAAACAGTATGCTACGTTTATATCGAACACGCTTATAACGAACTACTGTATATATCTTAGTCGAATAGCGTATAAGGAACTACGATTCAGAGAAATAAAATCAGTGGTCCTTTGAGTTCGTTATAATTGTAGTTTAACCATCGACATAAATGAAATGGGTGGAAGGTTTGAAACACAAGAGTATCGAACTGTTAATTAATGTGGCTGTATGAGATGTAGATGAAATACTACGAGATGAATAAATAGGATATACCCCAGTTGGATATACTGAATGTATTTCGGTAATCTATAAACCATTTCTTGTTCCTGTACAGAACCGGAAGACCCTGAGTGAACACTATGAAGGGCCAGTTTCCGGCCGGGAGGGCTGGTGGAGGTGCTACATCCGGGTGAGTGTACTTGGTGTGACATGACGTCATAATGGCTGTCATCTGGACAATATGTCTGGAATTGTGGTATACGTCAAATACGTTTAACCATCCCCAGTATGGTCATTTTGTTACGTGGGTATTTCAGTGAATTGCAGTGGATTTGAAGTCTCAAAAGGTTTGCATCATTTCAATCAAAACTCAAGATAGCACACACACGGCACGGTGACCCAGGCTTCGCAGTTTGCTGACCAGAGTTGCGTCGCTTGGTAACGCCAGAATTCTGTGATCATGGGTTCGAATCCCGATTCACACCGATTATGTTACTATGATTGTCAGAACCGCAACGGTGCTATCGCGTTTCATCAAAGTGGTAAATGTCAGACACCTGCATCACTTTCCTTCTTAAGCAGACGCACTGTAGTGTAACTCGAATATTGTTAGCATCCTTTTTGATAACTTCATGCATGTTGAAGTTTACTTTGAATTGTACTAAATTTTACTACTTTCAATTGTCCTAAAATGGAGGCCGACATCAACACTGGTCGCTAACCGCCATCTGTCATCTCAGGCTTCTTAGGGAGAAATCAACATTGGAACTGAAATGACTAGTTTCACTAGTTTGTGACTATCATTTTAAACTACACAATAATTAAGCGGCACTCGGGAAATTTATGTAGAAATACAATAGAGCACCTAATTTCAATTAACCATAAAAATATAATGACAGATTATGAAAAAAAATTCTTTAACTTTTGGTAGTTTGGTTTAGTTTCACTTTTTAGGACCCAAATGTTCCCTCACAGTTATGTGAGCCATATCTGTCAATCATTCTCCAGGAGACGCCGAAACCAGGCAGCTATCAGTCCTCATCCTTCGTAGACGAGCTGAAGCAGCGCCCGAACACATACAGGTTCAAGTCCGATGGCCGGAAGGTCGACCCGCACCCTCACGGGAAGGGCGCCACCCTTTTACCTGGAGCCTATGAGTTCCCAGACTTCATTCATGGGTGAGTTGAACGCTCTGTGGTAGATTCATGTTCGTTTCTAAACTGACGGACTAAAGAAAGTACACCCCTTGCTAGATATGAAACAAATAAGATTTCCTTATGTATTTGACCCGAGTATCATAGTGGGTCTTGGGTATGACGTTTGTAGTGTTTAGATGACACGTATCGGCCTTTAACGTTCTATCACCGTTTGTAATCTTTCGGTCAAATTCAGTTCAAGTGCATTCTTTTTTTGCCCGGCTGCTTGTATTGACTAATTTGTTTGGTATATGGGTGACAGTTTGTTTATCAAAAGAATATACATGTAATTAATGATTTATGCCATAGTTAGTTTCCATGGTTACAGTTTTCAGGTCTGAAAAGAAACCGGCTACTTTTATATTGACTAATTTGTTTGGTATATGGGTGATAGTTTGTTTATCAAAAGGATATACATGTAATTAATGATTTATGCCATAGTTAGTTTCCATGGTTACTGTTTTCAGGTCTGAAAAGAAACCGGCTACTTACAACTTCAAGGCTGCGGGGCGGGACGCCTTTGATGTCCTCAATTTTGGTCTGAAGGACAAAGTATGACGTGTTTTCTTTAACTGTTAACCAGCCTCAGTAACTTGTCTTCATGCCTTGAAACACCGTAAAGCTTTTAAATTATCACCATAAGATATATGTGATGAACACCCTCCTCCTCTCTCCCACAGGACGTGAACGTGTCTCCAACGGCATACGGCACCGAGCAGTACATGACCATCTCCGGCGAAAGAGCCCCTTCCAAGTACGGCTCCCCAATTGTCCGTTATATAGTGTATATATAGTGCAGCTGCACTAGGAACATACAACATCTATACATCGTTATTTTCCTTTTATAACATAAATAACATATGACAAATCAACTTAATAATTCCAGATAAAAATGAAAAATTAGGACAACGAAAGCTTACAGTGTTTTTGTTAAACACCGCAGTCAGCAATATTACAATAAAATTATATTTGTTCATATTAATTCTTTGCATTCCAGGCATTTCATGTTCAAGTCTCAGTCCAGGAGGTTTCCCACCACCTACTTCCGACCAGTAAGTACATCTCCGGTGTGACGAAATGCCAATATACCTGCCCCTAGGGACAGTAGAGATTCTAAACTCACTTACGAATAGTCACAGCCGTGACGAAGAATGTCTTGCAGATAAAAGTAAAGCACATCTATTAACGGTGACACTAACGGTCATCTGGACCAGGTCAAACAGGCTATCCTTGACTCTTTCATACAGGGGCAGTGGGGTAGCCTAGTGGTTAAAGCGTTCGCTCGTCACGCTGAAGACTCGGGTTCGGTTCCCCACATAGGTACACTGTGTGAATCCCATTTCTGGTGTCCCCTAGCCGTGATGAGTGCGGAAGGTCGCGGGTTCGATCCCCGACCGCGTCATACCAAAAGACGTTAAAATATGGTACTTGTTGGTCCCTGCCTGGCGCTCGTTTTTTAATGGGTACAACAAGGACTGGTCGACTCGGAGTCAGTATAATGTGTCTGAGTGGGGTATTCATGCTTCACTGCGGCATGGTATCTCAGTGTGCTAGCACTATAAAACCAGCTTCAGTCTGGGCTAGTACAAGCAGCCGCACATACACATACACACGCATGCACGTCGTCATATGAGCGAAATATTCTCAAGCACGACGTTAAACCCAATTCCACCACCACCACCACCTAGCCGTGATATTAGAGACAAGTGAACGCTTTAACCGCTGGGCAATCCCACCGCCCGTGTTTTGTTGAAGCAATATGGAGAGAAATGACATTCCGAAAAAGTGAAACCTTTCGTGGATACTGGTTAAATTATTGTATTGCGCATGGTCTTTTTGCAGAGAGACGGACCAGGGCCTGGCATGTACGATGCAATGTCCCAGAACCCCCCTCCCCAGCGTCTCCTCCAGTTTCAGATCAAGGACGCCACGGTTCTCCTCCTCCCACACGGTAAGTGTCTCATAATATGGTGTGTCTGTATTTCATAATATGGTGTGTCTGTGTCTCATAATAAGGTGTGTCTGTGTCTCATAATATGGTGTGTCTGTGTCTCATAATATGGTGTGTCTGTGTCTCATAATATGGTGTGTCTGTGTCTCATAATATGGTGTGGTCTGTCTCATAATATGGTGTGTCTGTGTCTCATAATATGGTGTGTCTGTGTCTCATAATATGGTGTGTCTGTGTCTCATAATATGGTGTGTCTGTGTCTCATAATATGTGTCTCATAATATGGTGTCTGTGTCTCATAATATGGTGTGTCTGTGTCTCATAATATGGTGTGTCTGTGTCTCATAATATGTCTCATAATATGTGTCTGTGTCTCATAATATGGTGTGTCTGTGTCTCATAATATGGTGTGTCTGTGTCTCATAATATGTGTGTGTCTCATAATATGGTGTGTCTGTGTCTCATAATATGGTGTGTCTGTGTCTCATAATATGGTGTGTCCGTGTCTCATAATATGGTGTGTCTGTGTCTCATAATATGGTGTGTCTGTATCTCATAATATGGTGTGGTGTGTCTCATAATATGGTGTGTCTCATAATATGGTGTGTCTGTGTCTCATAATATGGTGTGTCTGTGTCTCATAATATGGTGTGTCTGTGTCTCATAATATGGTGTGTCTGTGTCTCATAATATGGTGTGTCTGTGTCTCATAATATGGTGTGTCTGTGTCTCATAATATGGTGTGTCTGTGTCTCATAATATGGTGTGTCTGTGTCTCATAATATGGTGTGTCCGTGTCTCATAATATGGTGTGTCTGTGTCTCATAATATGGTGTGTCCGTGTCTCATAATATGGTGTGTCTGTGTCTCATAATATGGTGTGTCTCTGTGTCTCATAATATGGTGTGTCTGTGTCTCATATATATGTGTGTCTCATGTCTCATAATATGGTGAGTCCGTGTCTCATAATATGGTGTGTCTGTGTCTCATAATATGGTGTGTCCGTGTCTCATAATATGGTGTGTCTGTGTCTCATAATATGGTGTGTCCGTGTCTCATAATATGGTGTGTCTGTGTCTCATAATATGGTGTGTCTGTGTCTCATAATATGGTGAGTCTGTGTCTCATAATATGGTGTCTGTCCGTGTCTCATAATATGGTGAGTCTGTGTCTCATAATATGGTGTGTGTGTCTCATAATATGGTGTGTGTCTCATAATATGGTGTGTCTGTGTCTCATAATATGGTGTGTCCGTGTCTCATAATATGGTGTGTCCGTGTCTCATAATATGGTGTGTCTGTGTCTCATAATATGGTGTGTCTGTGTCTCATAATATGGTGTGTCTGTGTCTCATAATATGGTGAGTCCGTGTCTCATAATATGGTGTGTCTGTGTCTCATAATATGGTGTGTCTGTGTCTCATAATATGCACAGTGTGGTGTGTCTGTGTCTCATAATATGGTGTGTCTGTGTCTCATAATATGGTGAGTCCGTGTCTCATAGCATGGTGAGTCCATGTCTCGCACACAGTGAGACAGTGTTTCACACATGGTGATTCAGTTTCTCTCACATATGGTGACTCAAACGTGATACCAAACATGGTTAGTTAGTGTTTCACCCGACTCGATTGCCCTAAACAGGGTGAGTTTGTATGTTACACACGATAAGTGAGTCTCTTTCACACAGTGGCTCTGTATCTCATTTGCTCACCAACGATGAATGAGAATGAGCCAGTTTCTTACACATGGTGCGTGGCTTTCCTTCATGCGATGTGTCAGTATATCACAGGGTAAGGCAGTATCACACAGATGGTGAGTCAGTATCTCACAGAGGGTGAGTCAGTATCTCAGACTCTCTCACATGGTACGTCAGTATTTGGGTCAGCCATTGTCTCCGAATCCGTCTGTGTCACATTTGCTATTTCTGACACCAAAATGCGATAGCTCTCAGAATGACTACGTTTGACGTAAACCTCAGTATACCGAGATATCGTTATATTTGATAACGGCGTCCCTACTAAGATTATCCCTCCTATTTTCTCCACAGAAAATCCCTGGCCCGGGAACATACGACAAGACCTTCCAGCACCCGATGAAACCGACCATCAGCAAGATGGGCAGGCAATATGGACTGTTCTTCACCAGCGCGTTCCAGGCGTGATTGTGTCCAAACACTATTCCATACATCAGTTATCGTTCTGTACACAGTATCCCATGCACTATTTATAGAAACTGGATTCCATACAGCTTACATATGTCCAAACAGGATTCCATACATTGTTTACATGTGTCCAAACAGGATTCCATACATTGTTTATGTGTCCAAACAGGATTCCATACATTGTTTATATGTGTCCAAACAGGATTCCATACATTATTTACAAGTATCCAAACAGGATTCCATACATACCTTGTTTACATGTGTCCAAACAGGATTCCATACCTTGTTTATATGTGTCCAAACACATTGTTTATTCCATACATATATGTGTCCAAACAGGATTCCATACATTATTTACAAGTATCCAAACAGGATTCCATACCTTGTTTATATGTGTCCAAACAGGATTCCATACCTTGTTTATGTGTCCAAACAGGATTCCATACCTTGTTTACAAGTATCCAAACAGGATTCCATACATTGTTTATATGTGTCCAAACAGGATTCCATACCTTGTTTACATGTGTCCAAACAGGATTGTTTGCATGTGTATTGTTATTATATTCCCATTTGTTTACCTTTGTTGCCTTTGTGTACATTAGGCCAGTTCGAAATATCAACTTTCAACGTGTGCATGTATCCGGATTTGAACATGTTTTGGCCGACATGGCGTTCTATTTTACTTGTTATATCATTGTCTATATTTGTTTGTTCAGTTATTTTATAATGTTGAATACAGTTTGTGTTCATCTCTTCTTTGCTTTCGAGGCAGATGTTCAGCAAAGGAGGGATAGAAGAGTGTATTGATTGTATTTTATATTTCTTTATTTTGATATATTCATGAAATTAACACATTGTAAACTAAAAGTCCATTGACTTCTGAATTGTTTACGACGATGTAATGTTACAATCCCGGCATAATTTAAGTATGCACATATATGTCTTATATCGAAACTCCGTTTGTGTCGAAGTACGGATAAACTGATTTATTTGTACTGTACTATTTGAAAATTTGATCACAAAAGGAAATGATTGTTAAAGAGTAACACACTCACTGTGTACAATATCACAGTACAGAGGTATATGCACGCACACGCACACGCACACGCACACAAGTAGATGATTTTACACTAACAAGCTGATATGCATACACTTTGCAGTATATAAGAACGTTCATGGAAATTACCATGTGTTGGCAATGGACCATGATATTTTATACAAAGTTTGAAAATATCTAATCATATCCACCTACCAGTATTACTCAGTTTCTAGTCTTTCACAAGTGTTTGAGGTGCGTGGTGTTTGCAGTATTCTAGTGTCGGCGTGTACCGCCAGCGTGGCTTGAGTAGGAATGAATTGCTCTGTTGTACGGTCGGACCGCCTTACCTCGAGATCCTTTATCTCGAATCTATTGTCAGCTTCCAAATGCCTCAGTGAATAAATACATACATTTGGCCGCTTATCTCGAATTAGAGATAAAACGACATAGCACTATCTCTAACCTTGCATTTGGTCCGAACTATCTTTACTATGGAACCTTTGAATATTGTTCTCGAAGTTTGCATTTGCCAAATTAACAGTTTTGAGAAGCGGAAATAAATCTTAAACGTCACGGGCACTATACTAACACTGGTCTTGGTCCTCCATTGGTTGAAAACGATGTATATATTTAAGGGAATCTTCTGGGTTTGTTTTGTTTTCAGGAGTTGGTTTTGGGGGATGGTGTGATGTAAATGGCACATTCTCATCGTAAGTGTTACTTGTCTGGCACGGAAACTAACGACCTCAATTCTGATAACGGGATTGGTTGTTTCGGATCTTGATTGCAGTTGCCAGATGTGGCTGATGTGATTTATTACGACGTCATGTGCTGTGTTATATTATATAACGATAGCCCATGTTTTGAGAATAACTCCCTAGTGGAATTGTTCTAAAGAGTGGGTTCGAAACTAATGCATGGTAGTGACTGACTGACTGAGTTTGGTTTTACGCCACTTTTAGCACTATTCCAGCAACATCACTGCGGGGGAAATGGGCTTCACACATTGTACCCATGTGGGGATTCGAACCCGGGTCTTCGGCGTGACGAGCCAACGCTTTAACCACTAGGCTACCCCACCGCCCCGCATGGTAGTGAAGAGGTCCAGGGTATTAACCTGATTGTCATGGAGAGAAATACCCAGGGCCCCGTTTCACAAAGCTATCGTAGCGCTACGACTGTCGTATGTCTATGCTACAGCATTGGAGGTACGATTCCTACGAGAAAAGTTACGAGATCTTAGGCTTACGAGAGCTTTGTGAAACGCGGCCCTGGACAATCGAGGATGGTATCTACATCTGTAATATTGCAGAGGGAGGTATATAAGTAAAGCTCACGAACACCTCCACGTTGCCATGTACTGAGATTTAAACTTTATTTTCGCTTTAAATTTCATTACAGGGACGGTACAGGCAAACTATTGTGATATGTTATATAAAGCAGTCTGTCCCCGGATGTAGATGTATAAGTGTTTGTACTCTCGCCTTTGTATTTTAGGGGTCATATATGATCTCTGATTTTGTGTGGCATTAAATGTTTGATATACGACGGAGTATGCATTAAATACTATATGAAGTCAATAAATATTTTTTGACAGATATTATGTGGTTTGTCATGTTTTGTATTGACACACGCCGTCGATGCCATTGGGAATTCTGGGACACGAGACAGAGTTCCGGTGTCGTCATAGCAACTTACCCGTGAACATTCAGGTTAGAATTGATCTTCAGGAACCAATGCTTGTTTTAAGAGCCAACTAACGGGATCGCGTTTTCAGGCTCGCTGAATTAGTTGACACATGTCATCGTATCCCAATTGCGTAGACCGATGTTCATGCTGCTGATCACTGGATTGTCTGGTCCAGATTCGATTATTTACAGACCGCCGATTATAGCTGGAATTTTGCTGAGTGCGTCGTAAAACTTAACTCACTCATAGCAACTTAAAGAGGTGGGGTGGTTGCACAGTGGGTGCAGCATTGTCGACTCAGGCTCCTGGTCTTGTTTTCGATCAACCGACGTCTAATGCAGCTCCGGAAAATTTTCACCATACAGGGAGGATACAGGCCTAAGCAAGCACTACCAAGCACTACTTAACACTACCACTTTGGAGATGTCCATGAGCAAGGCTATTGTATCAACACTCTGAAAATAATTATCAGAGTTTATTTAGATTCGATTGCACATCAGCGCATCCTGGCGAATGAAGGGAACACAACTCTACGGTTCTTTTGATAAAGAGTCAGCTACGCCAATGCAAAACAAAATATTATCATCCAACATACCATTTGACAACGTCTAAAGTTTAAGAGGTATAGATGCACTACTAAAAGGCTTCGGAATGAGATTCATCAGTCGTGGTCATTCTTTTTCGATTTTAATCATGTGATTTAATTGCATCATTTAATTCACATTGCGAAGGCACGTGAATCATAATTCATATAATTGGTTCGAAAAAAATCTAGAAGTCCTCGAAAGTCGATCGATAAACAGCGCATTGACCTGACACCACCAAGCTCGTTATACCGACATAGCATCGACGCGACGTTAGCCTAGTCTATAAATAGATCGACTACAGCAGGGCGCGAGAGACTCGCAGCTCGAAACACTCGGCTTTCTGCACAGATCGACACACCAGCTTGGCGGATGTAGGTCGAACGGACGCCATACTTGTTGTAGGGATTCGATACTTGTACCATGGCGAAATCAAACACAGGAGCTGATGAACTGGGTGTACCGAGTTTAAAATGTCCCTTCCTCAGTCGAACAAAACGCCTGGGACTTCGACTGAATGACGGAGGCTTCACCTACTTCAGGGAGCGTTGTCGCGGGAAGTCACCTACTGGCGGTGTACGAACAAGAGGTGCAAGGGCCGGATTGTACAGAAATGGCAGAGTGTGACTCGGACACAGTCTCATAGTCATGTGCCGTCCGGTCTTCCCTGTGATGTGAGTATAGTATACCAAGTCAATGTTGTCTGTGTGGTGTGTTGTGTCGGTGTGGGCGGTCATCGCGACCGCAGTCACTTACCGTATCCGACTTTTGTCGACCACGGCTTCAGTTCTCGTCGACGAAGCATGACATTGACGTCAATCAATCCCATAATTCCAGTGTTACTAATTCAAACGTGAAGATCCGGGTTAGAATTGGTGTTCAGTAACCTATGCTTGTTGTAAAAACCCACTAACTGGATCGGGTTGTCAGCTAGACTCGCTGATCGACTTGGTTGACAAATCATCGTGTCCCAACTGCGTAGATCGACGATCCTCATGATGTTGGTCCATGGATTTTCTGATCCAGACTGATTATTTGCCGACCGCCCCCATATAGTTTGAATTTTGTTGAGTACGGCGTTAAAAATATAACTAAACTGTTACTAATTCCTACTATATTTAGCCTGTAATACTGTTTTGTCTTATTGAATCCAAACAATTTTTCAGAAATTAAGATATATATGTCAGGGTAGAGACTGCGATCTGGTAGAATCGGAGATTCTACCAGTAGAGATTGCGATCGGAGTCTCTACCAGTAGAGACTGCGATCGGAGTCTCTACTGGTAGAATCTCCGATCCTACTAGTAGAGATTGCAATCGTAGTCTCTACTGGTTGAATCGGAGATTCTACCAGTACATTTTCCAATTCAACTGGTAGAAACTCCGATCCTACTAGTAGAGGCTGCAATCGTCTTCAACTGGTAGAAACTCCGAGTGATCTGTGGGTAAACAACAAAGACACTTTTTCTGAACAGTACCATGCATTTTATTCAGATATAACACTAGACTGTTTCCACTTCTACAGATATATTAAGGACTAAAAATACAAATGTGACTTGAGAGATCATATTACAATATATACATATATTACAAAACTGATTACAAGCAAGATCAATTGCATAATCAGTGTTTGCCCTAGGCATAAAAATTTAGAAGTCATCATGAGAGGGAGTCATGGACATGTTTTTGGGAGTCAACTTCTTTCATCAAGAGATCAACTGTTATCAGGGTTCGAAATACCCCATATATTAGTGTGCCATGGCACGGTCATTATTGAAATGG